ATTTCATATCATGTGGACAATTTCTTGTTTGTTTAGTCGATTATTATGTTATGAAAGTTGAATATCATGATTCAATCACTTATTAGTATCATTAATTTTGAAGTCGAACAATTAGGTCTCATATATTGGTTCAAAATCATATTTTTTTAACTGAGTGTTAGTCTGGAAACTTACAAACTTCTTGACTATTGAGGATATAATTATACCTCAACTTTGAGACGATTTGATGAGATTTTGAATTGAATTTCATATTGAACTTCGAGATTGAAGAACATAAAGTAGTATAACCTCATAAACGTCATTTGATAAACATAAGTACAGTACTCATGTATATGTCATATGTATGTCACTTATTTATCATATGTCAAATATAATATTGATGCACATGATAACATAGAATATATACTAAATAGATGATATACATAGTTGTCGTCTTCACAAAATATGACTTCAATAATTTTTTTATATCAAAACTAATTTGAAACAGTTCTAAATGCACCCAAATTTTATAATACTCAATTATGATACCATTGTATTTTGGCTGCACCGAGTGCATTTAAAAATGAAAATGAAAATTATTATTAATTAAGTTACGTGATTGTTTGAAAGTATCTATGAAAAAAACTAACAAGGATTGTGGTGGAATAGTAAATAATTTTTCATTTTTAATTAGAGGTCTCGGATTTGAGTTTCCTTGAATACATGACTATCTTTGTTAGGGAGCACTTTACCCTTAATGTATATGTATGTATCTGGAGTGATAGACATTATCGCATGTATCTGAGATATTAAATACATGGGAGGTGAGTTAGATTTGCTATGTATCTCATATACATGCGAATCCACTTGATACAGTGTATCTAAAACAAATTACACCTAAATTTGACCTCCTGTATCCGAGATACATATATCTGGACGTATCTGGAGGCATCAGAATCTGGTAAGATACATAATATTGCAAATTGGAGTGGTAATTAGCTTCTAAACTACTGGAATTTAGGTAAGTCCCCTTTTCAAATTGGGTCCTCAAAATTATGTTCATGCTGTATTTCTCCACTTTATAATTTTAATTTTAAGAGTGTCAATTTAAAATTTAAGTTCACGTTAATTAAATAATTATAACGATGATTAAACGATAATTTTTTTTGGTAAAATATCAAGCATTTACTGATTTAACATAAGTACCGAATAACATTAACTTCATTAAATTGATTTTTGAAAAAGAAAAAAGAAGAAAGATTTAGAACCTTATTTTATGAATTTGAATGCGATATATGCTGAAAAAAATTCTTTATCAAAAATGACAAAAAAATATTATGTGTCACGTATATTGATTACATCTCTTCTTTTTTTTCTGTCAAAATACTTATGAGTAATTAATTATATATTCTTTGGAACATCGTCAATATTTCTCTCCTTTCTTTATGTAATTTTTCCTTCAGTAATATAATCTTATTCTTTTCTTCTTTTTTGAAAATTATATCAATCTTTTTTCTTTTATTCTTGATAGTTCTATGTACCAAAAAAATTAGGGCAAATTACAGAAATCACATATTTTTAAGGCAAAATACAAACTATCCCTTAAAAGTTTATAATTACAGAAATCCCTCAAACGGATACAATAAATATAAGCGCTGATACATTAATTTGATGCGCGAGATACATTAATCGTTAAGTAAGATACATTACATTTTATACATGATACACTAATCTGATGCGCGAGATACAATAATATAAGCGATACATTAAACTGATGCGCGAGATACACTAATCTGATGCGTGAAAATGAGGGATTTTGGAGATTTGTAAAACTTATAGGGGATAATGGTAATAAGTAAACTAAAAGGTGAGATTTCTATAATTTTTCCAAAAAATTAATGTTAAGATCCACAAAATGTATGAAGTAGACATGAATAAGATTTCTTGAGACATAATTTTTATTAAAGTCGTTTGGTTGTTTATAGATGTCATTTGTTTGTGAAGTACTTTCTCATTTTATTTTACTAAGTCATTATAAGAGTAAAAAAAAGACACTTTGATACATAAAACATTTGCATTAGTAAAATTTAGAAAAAAATCGCACCTTAAGAGATGTAAAGCTTATACAACTCTTAACTTAGAAGAAATTTAATTTGGTCATACTTTTCAAGAAAATTTGTAAATTTTGAAGTCTAATTTTTAACCAATTGTATATCTTCAAGTTATATACACATGTGAATTGTATACTCCAAAGATATACAATATACAATACAAGTGTTGTGTAATTTTTTTAGTGTAACTCAAATGATCATATATTAAGAAGGGTTAAAAACTTAAATGTACAATTTAAGCGCCTAAATAACCCTTATATAACAATAATTTAACTTTTCACCTACATAGCAATAGTTTTTTTACAAAAACAAAACAAATAAAAAATAAATAAGAAATAAATCGGTATAAATAATACAACAATACACATTCCTATATTAAATAAAATTTCATTCCTTATTTTTCTCATATTTTGTTATTTACCTTCCACAAATCTCTCAATAATTAATCCCTCAATATTTTTATTTCCTTATTTTTGTCCCCTTTTCTAATCTTCTTCTTAAAATACTAAGCAAACTGATTCTCTTTTTCTCTCCTACCTTTTTTTTTCTAAACTCTCTCTTCACTCGTCTCTTTCTCTTTTTTTTTTTCTTTTTACCTCATTTTATTTTCTGAAAAATTTATTTATTTTTCTTTAGTTCTCTCCCTTCAATTTTTTTGTTTAAATCTTTTTTTACACCAATGTAGTTGGAACATATAACCAATAAGGATTTGTTTATTTTAGTTTATTTGGTTGTAATTTGGTATAATTTATTCATTATGGTAAAATTAAATTATAATTATTTGAACTTGACACCAAAGTTAAATCATATTGTACACCATGTAAATTAATTTAATGATACTAAAAAATTGGTATATACTTGATTAGATTATGGTATTATGTATTATAGGGTTGTAACATAACTAAAATCAACTTTATCATCAATTATAAATCAATATCTTTTATAGTTCTAAACCAACGTATCACCAAAAAATTAGTCATACCATACATCAAACTTCAAAGTATATATATACTATAACATATTGCAACTTTAAATCAATAAATTACCATTATTTTTTAACCAACAAATCCACCAATTATTTTTAGTTGTTATAGTTATTAAAATTTGAACTTGATACAAAGGTTACACCACATTGTACACCATGTAAATTAATTTAATGATACTAAAAAAATTGGTATATACTTGATTAGATTATGGTGTTATGCATTGCAGGGTTGGAACAAATAACTAAAATCAACCTTACCATCAATTATAAATCAATTTCTTTTATTGTTCTAAATCGATATATCGCCAAAAAATTAGTCACACCATCCATCAAATTGAAATCAACAAATTACCAATATTCTAACTATACCATCCATCAAAATATATACACTAAAACATATTACGGTTAATAACCAACAAATCACCAATTATTATATCGGAT